TATGGTTTATCTAATAGACGTCACCTCCAGAAAATGCGCTGGAAAGAGAACTGGAGGAAAGGCCAAGAGCGGGGTGTTTCGGTTCCTACGAAGCGACAAGCTCGGGCAGGCGTCTGCACCAACCTCCCGGCGATCGAGGCGGACCCGTTTGCTTGCCCACACGATGGCTCACCTTCTCCTTCCCGGTGTGCAGGCAGCCGCGCCGGCCGGCACCAGCCCTCGGCCTCGGCCAGCGCCACAAAATCCTGCTGCCAGCCCTGGCTCCAGCCAGGAGGCATCTGTACTTCCTACCAGGAAGGTGCCCCACCGTGTGCCTCGTTAGGTGCCCTCCCTGGTGTGACGACCAGAAGCCCAGCAGCTCTCCAGGGAGGGCAGGGCCGTGACTTATGTGCGCGGGTGCTTGCACGCACCGGGGCAGCCGAGGCAACTCTGTCCGCTGGCCCGTTGGGAGCATCCTCGATGGAAACGGCCGTGTCCGAGCTGGTCCGTCCATCCTTCGCCCACCGGGACATGGGTTATGGCACCGCCTGGCTCTACTGGCAGCCCGAGGCCCGCTGCTGCGCTGCGGGACACAGGTGACAACCCGCACATCACCCGGCGGAGGGGCTGGAGAAGGTGGCCGGAGGGGCGGCACGGCTGGAGGCTTTCCGCAAACGGGCTCATAAAACCCAAGGTTAAAACACAGTAGGAAATTTGGAGCGTAATAAATAGCCCTAACAAAGGACAGGCTGCAGCCCTGACGCAGAGCCACGGGGCTCTTTGACGGATCTCTGTGCGTCTCCTGGCCAGTGATTAGATGGGGATTCACGTTTCCCTTTCCATCCTGTATCTCCCAAGGGAAGCGTTGTGCTTGTCCTTTCCAGGGCAGCTCCAAACGCTTCCCGCCGGCCGCGGCGTGCTCCCCTGCCTGTCGCCTCGGCAGCCCAGGACCGCCGTCACCTCCTGCTCCTGCAGCCCAGCAGCTCCATTTTAACAGCCAGGAAAAAAATCCAGTGTGTCCTTGTTTCAGACTTCCTAATTTTTTTCCTCTGGTTCTTATCGATCTGTAAATTGCCAATGGGTCAGAGACCCGCCCCCAATGGCATTTAGATTCCCTGGGGAAAAGGCCCCAGGTACAATAATATATATCTCTAATTTCCCCCCCAAAAAACTGCCTATAGAGACAAAGCTGGAAGAGACCAGGCAGAGACTTGGACGAATGTGCATTATTACCCTGCATGTTAATGGCAGAGGTGGCTGTTTATGATTTCTTTTCATCTTTCACCCAAAAGAAAAGGAAAATATCCCTGCCTTCTCTTGCAGGGGTGCTTCTGGAGACAGAGCTCACAGGGGTCATTGCTTCTGAGCATTTGCCTTGGCATTTAGTAACACACCAGGTTAGGTGGACAGATCATCGTTCGGAGCACGCTTGCACTCATGCACAGACACAGAACTCGGTTACATTTATAGAAATATCCCCAAAAAAGAGAAACCTCCCTTGGCTTCCCATTCCTACAACCATCGGCAATCCCAGCACATGGCTTAGGTGGAGATGGAGCGACGGAAGCACGAGATGCTGCCGACTGCAGTAGGCCTTCGCTGGCGCCCGCTTTCCCACGCTGAGGTCTCCCAAGTGAGCCCGTCCGGGGCTGGATCAGGCTTCTTGTCCATCAAGTGCAGTGTCTGTGCCATGTCAACAACCTTCCGGTCAAATTTTCACAGGCTCAAGGCTTGCAAATCACTCAAAGCTAATGCTGGTGAACCGTGCAAAAATGCTGGAGCAGAGAGGTAGGAGAAGGAGAGTTCCCAAAACACGAACGTTGAGTTCTCCATTGCTCTCGACCCAAAGTGCCATAAGTGTTCCCTCCTGTGAAAAACACCGCTTGCTTCAGTAGCTGCAAATCCACTGCTTCTCTCAAATACCTGGAGCTGGAGCAGCCTCACTTAACCTGCAGGAACAAAAGCGAAGGCTTTAGCCTAGAGAGACCCCCACTGTGATCACCTGGATTCATGCAGCTCCAAACCCTGGGCTAGAATTTGGGTCTGGAACCAACCTTTGAGCTTGTTCCTGTGTCTCCTGGTATAAGCTGTTCATATCAAAGCACGCCAGACCTTTTCTTGTCTCCTTTTTTTATTCACAGTGAGCACGCTACAATAGCACAGTTAGTCCCTATAAAAGCACGTCTGGGATGCAAGAGACTGAATCACTGAATTTCTTTTAAAATCTGATCTGAAGCTTTTTGAGATTTTGATATTCATAGTCTGTTTTGCATTAAGGTTTTCAAAAAAAGGTTGCACAGGGGGAAGCACAAGATGGTTCTGTCAGCAATAGGATGCTGGGTTTTCCATGGAGAAACAGAAAGCATCTACTTCTCTGCAGCCATCAGCAGCTAACTGTGCAGAGCAGCACAGGAAAAATGCTGGAAACAGGGTGGTGGACATTAAATAGCATTTACAGAAGATCATGCTTAAACTTCCAAGAAAGATAATCTCCCTTGTGCTGCCAGACTATGATGTAAACCTAGTATCATTAAAACATCAGAGTGAACCACCCAGCACGTAGCTGTGGTTCTGCTCGGTGCCAAGTGCTGCTCTCCCTCATCGCAGCTCCAGAGAGCAGGACGGTTTCTCAGAAAGCGCATCCAGCCCTGGCACAACTTCCTGGAGCAGCACAGGCTCCGTCCTGCTGCTGGGGAAGCAAACGCAACGCTCGGGGCAGGATCTCCGGCTACTCTTACTCACTGCTCGATGATGCTGTTGTTGAACTGGAGATCGCACGTCACCGATTTCATTTGCTCTAGGAGCTCCTGCATCCTGTTGCAGACACAAATAAGACTTTGCAAGCACAAGACCCCGCTCCCAAAAACTCATCATTCAGAGGAGCGAGCAATGGGAGACCCCGCTGCCTGCACGACCCCGTCCAGCGGCGCCCGTGCCCTGCTCCCAGCCGGCACCGGCTACTTCTCAACAGCCACCGGAGGACTTACCTAAAAGCCATATCGTGGCGTGCCTGGTTCAGATGAGTGGGCGAAGTGACCGGGGCCAAATGCCGTTTCTCTGGCGAGACTGTCTGGGGAAACTTGTCCAAAGCCTGCACAGACGGGGAGGTTGGCGGTTCACTGCAGGCCACGTGCTGCTTCCTATGGTCTAACCCCTGGGCACTGCCATACATCGGTCCCCTCTGCAGCCCTCCAAGCGTGGAGTGCCTCTCCGTGGGAAGAGGGGGTGATGAAACGCCCCCGGGAAACTGTGCACACACGATTTTGCCCAGCACATCCACCTCGTCAGGACAAGCAAAATAAAATAGCCAAGGACCGGGGCATCTGCTAGGTATCTGTACTGGAAAATGCCAGATAATCCATCATAAAAACTGAAGGTGGAGCATCACCTTTCCGGCTACTGCAATTTCCTGTTTAGGTGAGTACAGACTACTCACTTACTGACAGGTAGTCGTTTGGCTAAGGGTGCCACTGCTGAGGATTCACCCATTCCTTGCTCTGAGCAGCCGGAGAAAACAATACCTAACAACACCTCGTAATTGGGTCATCCACAAAAAAATGCAGCAAGTTGTTTAGAAACAGCCCAGTGAGGAGAAGCCTATGGGTTTCCCTATGTACATGCCCACTCTCACACACTGCAGAAGTCAGCAGTGCGGAGCGACAGCCCTCTTGAAAAGCAAGGAAAGCCCATGCTGCAGCGTCCGGCGCTGCAGCCGGCGAGCACCTACGTGCTGGAGGCAGTCCTGGCACTCCGTCATCGCCACGCTGCAGGCACTGATGCAGTTGCTGAGCCTCTTCAGATGCTTCTTTATCTCACAAACTTTCCTAGTGAGAAAGAAAAAAACAGCAAAAACGCCAGTCAATGTTTAGCAGCAATACGGATTTTTTTTTTTTGGTTTGTTTTAATTTTGTGTTGTTTTCTGTAAGCCATACCAGATTTAAATTAAAATCTTAAAAGGAAAGAAAATATGTCACAACAGTGTTGTAATTCCAGCTGCAACTCTGCTCATAGCCCCTGCTGGCGAGGCTATCCAAACAGCACTAATAGCAAACTCATTAGGGAAAGTACAGCCTATGAGAGATGGTGCAAGACCAGGACTTCTGCCTGAAGTGATGCACACGCTGCTCTTTTGTCCCCCACCGAGAGCTTCTACTCTAGAAAGCTACTTGGTTTTCTATTAATACTGGCACACTTTGCTTTCAGATTTGAGGCTTACAAAGGCTGGAAAGATTTGCCAGGCCCTAACGTGCCCCGGAGCCCCTTCTCCGCGGCCCGTTTCTGCACAGACGCTATTGCACAGCCGGGGCGGAAAAGCCCCGGGGCAGAGCGGGCCGCCTGGCCGGACGGCGCAGCAACTCAGGCATAAATACACTGGAATGCAAAGTCAGCCTGAGGATGATTTTTGGTTTGGTTTGGCTCAAAAAAAAAAAAAAAAGGGAAAGACTATTTAAGGTGAACGGTCCACCTCCAGTTGCCAGAAAAACACCCACCACACCGCAAACTCTAGCTGCGAGCAGGAGCAAACACAAAACAAGGCAATTAAAGCTGAAGTAAAAATAAATGTAAAATATCCAGCTGTGACTCACAATACGTTCTCCCCAAGAACAGAAAAACAGACACAAAAATATTCCGGGAAAACAAAGAATCTTTTTTCCCCTCAACGAGCGAACAGAGAAGTCCGGCTTTCGTGCAGATGGGGTTAATATGCTGCGTGGATTTTGTACAGGCTTTCTGCACCGGGGTGAATTTCACTCCGAGAGAAAACCCTCACTGGAGTCAATGGGAGATTTAACTGCGCCGTGATCGGCGGCGGCAGGAGAAAAACCTCGACCACGTGCGGCAACTTCAGCCCCCAAAACGGAGCGACGCCGAAGGTGAGGGCTCGCCGCGTGCCCCGGGGCGCGGGTGCAGCGCCGTCCCCTGCTCCGGGGCGCCGTCTAGGGCGCCCTGAGACAAACTTCTGGCTTAAGAGTCCCCCTCCATCGGAAATCCTGCGCAGGTCGACTCCACATCAAAAACTGGGGCCAGGTCCCAAGCAGGTTTTAATGCTAAGGCATTATAGAAAAATCACTCTTTTTCCACCCTCACTTAAACCCAGAGGAACAGATGATCCAGTTTTAAAGCAACCTTGCAATAAAAATCCAATTTTTGCAACACCTTCTTCTGAATGCCTCCCCCTCACCCCTATTCTTTGCTGCTGTACTAGTCAGTGGATTGCACTCAATCACTGCAAGGTAATTTGCTCTTTGCATTATTCCCCAAACACCATTTAACATAACATCATTCCCAGTAAGTAGATCTCTTTGTCTCAATTGCAGTTTTGCCCTGATACAATAACCTCTCCCAGTCAGAGAGCAAGGAAACCAGCTGTCTGACCTGAAGCTGCAAGTTTACATTTGGAGGGTTTGGGTTTTTTTTTTTTTCCTGTTTAAACTTAGAACAACAGGGCAGAAATACAGGTCACAGGATAAGAGCCAGTATACAGATTTTTTTAGTTCATAGTCACTTAGAGCTTCTTCTTTAAGGTCTCATTATCTCCTTATGAGTCCCTCAGCAGCAGTTACGCGCATCGTCTCCATCTACATCCCAATATTAGATCAATACCGGAGGGCACCAGGAACCCAGAGAGGTTGTTTGAGGGTTATGGGAAACCCCTTTCCTCTGCCTCTGGGACCCCCTTGGGTTCGGCATGCGCAGGGGCTGCTGGCAGCTCTCGTTGCAGAGAAAAGGAGAACCCCAAAACCTGGTGGGTGAGACCCAAGGAAAGGGCTGAGCACGGGCTGGTACCTCATTCTGCTGCCATGAAGAGCCAGGACCTCTTGGTACTTCTGTACACAGTCGTCCCGGAAAATGAGCAGAACCTTCCTGGCCAAATGTCCTAAATTCATCCTAAGGACAGGAGAGAAAAAGTGTTGGGGGGAGGCGGGGGGGGGAACAAATGTTATTTCTTTAAATGCATGAAAATAAACAGCATCGTTCAAATAACAGGAGGCCTAAAGCAGGCTCCAGAACGGAGGAGGAGGGGTTGGACATTCAGCAATGACTTTTGCTTCAGTGTTAAAAAGAAAACAAATCCAAACAAAGACAAGGAGAGCAGTCAAAAGAGGGAGATTTTCTGCAGGGCCTAAGAAACCCAGGCGGACAGGTCCTCTGGAAAGCCAAACCAGACTTACGTTCCTCATAGCCACAGATCTGAGAAATCTTTGCCCTAAGGTTTAAGGCACATGTCCAAGGTTAGTGTAAAAATTAGTTAAGATAAAGGATCAGCATGTTAAATTGCATCATCCCTGGTAAATATTAAAGTGCACGTTTTATTTTTTTGCACGTGTTAAATTCCCCTGGCTCCAGTGGAAGCTAAGAGGAGAATTTTTAAAGGTAGAAAAGGTGCTCAGACACTTAACGCCCGCTAAAAATTAAGCATATATGTAAGCACTTTCCCAGACAAGGACTCTTCCTAAATCAGCATCTCAGTGAGTAAATGAGACATAAACTGAGCAAAGTATCGTGGGACTAGATAGTCTGAAATGCACTTATTCCTCACAACCCCACGCAGGGATTTAGAGCCAATCGCAACCCCGCTGCCCCCAGATCTGTGCAGGTCTTCTCACATCTTTGTCTAAATGGTTTGTAGCTTGGAAAATTTTGCTGTGAAAAGGCCGGCAGCAATGAACGGCCACAGAAGCCATTTGCAGGTGCCTGCTCCCGACGAACGGCCCAGAAACCTTGCACGTCTTCTTAAGATTCAGTCAGAAATGGCAAACACCTAGCCGGCCTCGATTTTGGGCTGGCGACCCTGGAAGGGGGAGAGGGGTCTTACTTACTTATCCAGCTTGTGTATTTGCTCCTCGTTATAGCCCAGCCCTGGGGGGAGGAAAGACCCTGGTCACTTGCCGGGAAGCAGCTCTGCACGTTTTCACGCTCAGGACGTAGCGAACGGGTAATTTCACAACGCACCACGAGATCACCCAAGGGGCTTCTCGGAGGGAGAGGCAGCTGGCGCCCCAGGGCTACTGTCGTGGCACAGAAACTACTGCTAAAAACACTAAACTGAAATCAGTACTTTTTGCGCCAGGCCATTACTGCTGCGAAGGCCAGAGGGGCTCTTTGTGCACCGCGCTCAGCGGCCTCTCGCGAGAGCCGCAATCGCCCGTGACTTACGCAGACACGTCCTGGCCTTCTTGAACTGCTTGTGTATGAGCTGCATCTTCTCCAGACAGTACTCGATCTGCCGGATGCTGTGAGAGGGGGACAGAGATTTCGGCGGGAGGCCGACGGGAGAACGGGCATCCGCGTCGCGCACCCCGTGCATCCACGCACCGCTGGCTGGGACACCCACACTGCGACTGTATCTCAGCGTGGACATCACCTTCTCAGCACGTCTGCCCCAGCTGGGAGGCTATTCAGACCCAAGCTGTATGGGTACTATTCAGACGAAGCTTCACCGGTACCATAACACATCCCCATCGCTCCATGAGGCAACAAACTGACCCTCCCAACGGCAGCATCTGTCTCATACAAAGTGTCTCTGAAGCTGAATGGAAGGGACTAAAGTTAGCAAGTATCTGCACAGTACTACTGTATCATCTTGGTCCTCCTTTCACCTAGAAGTTGGGTTTGAATGGCTCTGAAAGCTTAAACAGAGACGGATGGCAATGTTAGAAGAGTCCTGGCGCCTGTGAAGGGAGCATGGTCCAGGGGAGCGGATCTGGGCAGTGTCTAGAGCCCAAGCTTTATTTCTAGCTCTGTTCCTCAAATCATTTTTTTACCAGTAAAAAGGGAGAGTACAAAAAAAACATGCAAAAGATTGCTGGTATAGGCGATGCCAACCTTGAAGCTTTTGGATTTTTCCTCTGAACAGCAACACCTCTGAAAAGCACTATGATGGGGAAAGGAAATGATGCAGCAAGTGCAATCAACAGCACTGCCGCCGCACAGCTGCTGCTATAAATGAGCACTTCAGTGTGAAATATGAACACGCTGTAACTACAGGACGCTGCCGCTGCACGTGTCAGTATATCTATATAAAGGGTACATCAGGCAGTATCACGCGTACAAGCAAAGGGCTGTTAACAGCTGTGTTTACAACGAGCGGTTATGGACGGCCACTTGCGAACATACAGCAACATCTACTGAATTGAATCTGAAAACATTAAAATGTTTATAGCAATTTCAATAAAGCGGGCTCTACAAACCTTTTATCTTCGTGTGCTTGCTGCCTGTGCTTTACCAGCTCAGCCAAAATGCCATCCAACGTCCCCTGATAATCAAAGATGTCGTGGGAACACTGCGAGAGATCCTCCACCACCTGGGGACCGAAAAGAGGGATTCGGGCAGGCCCTTTGTGCAGCCGGAGCCAGAGCTGGTGCTGGGGACCCCACTCGGACCGGCGCGCAGCGACTCACCGCCTGCAGCCTTGTCTTCACCTCGTTCAGCTCCCTCAGCGCCAGCGTCCCACCCTCTCCAGAAACAGTCTCGTACCTGCCCAAAGCCAGAAAGCAAAAGTGCCTTAAACAGAAAATAAGCCAGGGGGGCAGCCATCGCCCAGGCAAAGGAAAGATGTCGTTTTGTGGAGGCAGCTTTACGGTCCCGGGGCACTTTGGCTGCTGTTGGATCGTGCAATAAGTCTGAGTTCAGGGTACCGGCTCCCAGCGGCAAGATGGAAAGTGCTGATCTGACAAAAACGTGCCCTGCTGTACCCAATCTGCTCAAAAATAGTCAGCTTCATATGAGCAGGCTTTATGCCAGATCAGATGTTGTCTGTCTTCCGGCAGCTGCCATGGAAGTGTGAAGCCAGGAGAAATGCCGTGCACTGGCTAAGTCAGCAGAAAGATGCCTGATCCAGACTGTACCAGAAAGCATGGATAAGCCATCGGCATCCAGATGCAGTGTGTGTGATCTTGGAATTAGAGCCCTGCACTAATTCTACTGAAATTAGCAGGATTCGTGCGTCCATATCTTTTTGGATAATACAGAAATTAAGAGACTTGCTAAATTGAAATGAATGGAGAATAACAAACCAACAATCAAGCGCTTTCCACTACAGCAACAATAAAAGAAAAAAAGTAGCAGCAAAATAACTGTGGGTTACTTAAGACGACCCGGGCTTAGATCTCCCTGCGGCAGGACTGGTGGTAGTGGATGCATCCGTTATGTGCTAGGATCGTCCGAGGGTTCTCTGTAATTTAGTCTCTGATGCATGTTCCATTAACGGAGCCTCTTAAATGGAAATAAAAGACATCTCATCATGAACAGTGTGGTCAGGCTGGATGCCAGCTCAATGGAAACGCACTGTAACGGGCTAGAAAGCGAGGGGTTAGAGACAGTAGAAACCCATGAAGTCGCCCTGCAGCCAGAGAGCAAGGACTAATTCTAGGCTCATGAGAAACTGGAGACTGATAATTAAAAAACAAAGCAAAGGGGGAAAAAAACCCAAGGTGGCTCATTTCCTAGTCTCCACATACAGCAAAAAACTCTTACATTCCAGCTACCAGGTTATTCCTGGAATTTTAGTTATTTCTGATTATCCAGGCACCTTTGAGAGACCCATATCTTATCTGCAACATACTGATGTCCACAACAGTCTCTGGGTTTGAAAGCCAGCAGAAAACTGTGTGTGCCCTCCTCCGTGCTCCGATGCAGGGATATATAAGGCCACTGCCTATACCTGCTTCCAGCTGACCTGCCTTGGCCCGGTGCCGCAAAGCCGACCTTGTAAAGCCACACTTACAGCACACAGGTCTTCACCTCAGTAAGCTGCAAGCAGGTGAGCAACGAAACGGCGCCTCTTCTCTGCTCCAAAATCCTCAAGCACTCAGTTTTCAGGTTGCCACTGCCAACAGAGAGAACAGCCGGTCCAACGCGCGCTCCCGGCAGCCAGATGTTGTTCCAGAGCTGGCTGACGCTTGGCAGCTGGACATCCCTCTAATCCCAGCTTTGTGCTTGGGGCTCTCCTTTGGCTGCTCGTGAAAACGAGAGGCAGAATGCACATTAAAAATGGGTACAGTGACATGGTTGCAGGGCCTTTTTCTGCCGGGCGCTGCTCAGGCACAGCGCGGGAAGATCCTACCCCAAAGGAAATCAGTAAGACCGTGAAAATGCACAATAATAATAATCATACTAATGCTGTTCTCAGCATCTCCTGAACCGAAAACACTGACTCGAAGGTAACAAGCAGGGACAGGAGCATCCTCACAACACCAGATGGTATTTTCCTAGAGGTCCTCAGTAGCTCTAGCTGTCTCTCACATCCTTGCACAGGTATGGGAGAAGCTCTAGCTTGTTGCATCCCTCCAAGTACCCTTGGGGCAGTGCAGCGAGTAAGGACACAAGGTGACACTGCACCATCCGGACCAGGACTGGAAAACATCACATTTTCAGTTTTAACTCAATGCAAAGCTCTCCACAAAACGGAAAGGAACGAAGCACCCCCTGCAAACCCCCCTCGAGGGCGGTGACTTTCGGCACTTACGCGACCCAGTGAAGCCCCCTCAGCATGAGCTCCTGGCAGCGCAGCAGCGACCGGGCTATCCACAGCGTCTGGTGCGCAGTGCCCACGGCGCTCTGCAAGGCAAAGGGCCCCTGCCGGCGGGCGCCCCCTCGCCCCCCGGGGGGGGTGGG